TTGGACATTCCGGTTTTTATACTGCTTTTTTTTTAATTCACTAACGCTCTAAAAATGAATATTTCAGCAGTAAAGAATCAACGTTGGCGGATTTTGGTTGACATCCTTTACGATCGGTTACGATGCCTAGAGTACGGAGACCTGTACGATTTCGTCAACTTAGTGAGTTTGATAGGGGCCGTATAGTGGGACTTCGGGTAGCTGGACCTTATTTTCGGGCAATTGCAGTTAGAGTGCAAAGAAGTGTAGACACTGTGGTTAGGTGTTGTCAGGCATGTCTTCGAGAAGGCCGTACGCAAAGAGCAAGGGGCACTGGACGCCGCCGTAGAACAACAGACCGTGAAGATCGCCGCCTAAGATTATTGGCCTTAAGGGACCGTTTCTCCACTACCAGGTCCATTGCAAATGAATGGTTTGCAGAACACGGAAGACCCATTGGCATGCGAAGTGTTTATCGACGAATGAGAAGTTTTGGCTTGTTTTCATACCGACCACACTGGGTCCCCCCTTTAACTCGAGAACACCGACGTAATCGTCTTGAGTGGTGCAGACAACGGTCACTCTGGGATCAGGAATGGAACAGTATTGTCTTTAGTGACGAGCCTCGATTTTGTTTAGGCATGCACGATGGTCGTGCCAGGGTTAGAAGGCGACGTGGTGAAAGGAGGAATCCACAGTTTTTTGTTGAAAGACATGTTCATCACACTGTTGGAGTTATGGTTTGGGGTGCTATAGCTTATGGTTCCAGGTCACCTTTAATCTTCATCTGAGGTAACATGAACGAGCAGCGTTATATCCACGAAGTTCTAGAACCCCATCTTTTACCCTATCTTGACACCCTGGCAGATCCAACTTTCCAACAACATAATGCCCGACCACATGTTGCAAGAGTCACAATAGACTTCTTTCAACATAATGATGTCACATTGTTACCATCGCCACCAAGATCTCCCGACTTATCCCCAATTGAGCACGTGTGGGATATGATAGGTAGGAGATTGCTCAATTTGCAACGTCCTCCTCAGACTCTAGAAGCACTTCGAGAGGTGTTGGTGGTTGCCTGGAATGAGATACCACAGGAGGACATTGACCACCTGATCAGAAGCTTGCCTAGGCGCGTTGGAGAATGCGTAGCACATCAGGGTGCATCCACACATTATTAAAGGTCAAAGGGCTTTAAAGCAGTGCAATCATTTTGAATTTTTTATCATTTACTTATTATACTTCAATAAGTACTTATACAAAATTTTATTAAAATAAAACCATTTAAACTGGGTGTTCGGATTTATATGTCACTTAGTATACTTATGTATTTTCTGCAGTGTTTTCTGAAACGCAAAACTGACATACTGAAACCATCGTAAATAAACAAGATCGGCTGAAAAATTAATTATATCGGAATTCTTGTCAATCTGAATGAAATTCCAAATGTTAGTGCCTTGTTATAAAAACTTTAAAACATTTATAAGGTCCGCCTGACAATATTAACAAATGTTTTTTGAGTTGGCGACCTTTCTATATCAAAACAAATGCTCCCAGAGATCTGTCATGTTTTTTACCAAACTTTTGGCTCCTATATTCGATTTTTACTTCCAAAAATCATAATCCTGCTATAGTAGCTATGCAGGGTGCATACAGGGTGAGATATATATATATATATATATAACAAAAATAGGAAAATAATGGACAAAATCCGCAAAAAGTGGATTCGAGCAGAAAATAGGATAGGTAACCCGAGCGATACGTATTTCTGCTGGTTGGCTTCATCAGGCCCGAAATGAATGCACATATGCAACTACAGTGTAGGTTGGCTCTTGTTGTGGACTTCGTGTGTCTTTTTTTTTCCTCTCCAACTTTGTTTCCTCAGGTTACACCCGTATCCGGATGTATGGACATGTGTCTCTACTTTTGTAGTTGCATATGTGCATTCATTTCGGGCCTGATAAAGCCAACCAGCAGAAATACGTATCGCTCCGGTTACCTATCCTATTTTCTGCTCGAATCCACTTTTTGCGGATTTTGTCCATTATTTTCCTATTTTTGTTATATACCTTTCTCCGCATGATAATTTTCTCTTTATATATATATATATATATATATATATATATATATATATATATATATTCCAATACTAATGGCTTTCGACGGTTGATCTTTGAGCTATGATGAACTTTGTCTAAAAAATGCTACAGTTCGACAGCCCACACGTCCATCATTTGCATACATAGTGAAAATATTTCTATTATCCTCAGTTTTCATTTAATTTGTCTATTCCTTGAATATTTTTTTCGATTAGCATAAAGTTTTTTCTGCCTTCTCGTAACTTTTCATCTGACATTATCTCTCCGCGCTTTCTTCTCTTTGCTTCTCTTTTTTACCTCGCAAAATCCGGAAACAATGTATTCCCAGAAAAACGTCTCCAAATCCAATAACTAACACCAGAAACAGACATGTGATCATAAAAATAGAACACGCATATATATCACCCTACACCTTATGAACTAACATGACATTATGTTTGTCTGCATCCATTATTCAGTAGAGGTTTAATGTTTTATTAACAGACATTCGTCGTATCAAATGATCCGAGATATTATTTCGAAGAGCCCGGGATTCTGTCGGATTGATCCTGGAGGAAAAATGTATTCCGAACATCCTGCAATCGATACTAAGTTCATGTTAGTTCCAATATTGTTTTGTAATCTTATAGTGAACACAAATAAATGTTATATTTGATATAACAAATCGCATGAATTCCTTATCGAAATCTAGTTATCAAGAGTACGGCGTATCAGTAAAAATAAAATCGAATAAGACTTTCAAAAATTCAGTTTAATCGATTTGATATTTATGATATATTCTAACTGAGATTATGCAAGCCTTTCGTACGTCTCTTACTCATACTATTTTGCATATTACTAATTCATTTATTAGCACAAAATGAAAATAGTTCTTTCATCGTTTTGGACGGTTACGTTACAGTATTTTACGAAACAAGTAAACATGTTGACTAACTGTGCCATGTACGTCCCTAAGCGAATCTGTAAACTTTACTGTGCAAGCCCATCATACTCTCTATTGCACACACACATGCATTAAATAAAAGAGGCCGTTCTTTCCATCCTTTTTCATAAAATACTCCAATAACTTGAATACAGACTGTCGATATTGTAGTTGTGTCTTCATTCATTGCTATGTTTTATATCGGATATCAACAAATAATTTTATAAAATTGATGCACGAGACATTTCCTGTACATATACTCTCTAGTTACGGTTATCAGAATTAACCCTATAGAATAGACTCTGTGATTCAACACCATATGATTTATTGTGAGATGTTTGTCAACCACATTTAAGTAAAATGGTCACAAACATTCCTAAAAAAGAGTGCATATGTGCCAGCAAAGCCGAGGAAGTCATTTGCCTGACCTGCTATTTTTTGACACAAAAGCAGCCGCGCAGGCAGAAGCCTAAATGCCTGGGCACCGCGGCTGCTATGAGGAGCTTTTCTAATCCAAATCCAGACACGAACGCTGCGTTCGATTTTACGAAGATTACTTGTACGTGAAACATGTAATTTGACAGTTCGTCTTCAGAAGACGAAGTATTGCTTTTGTGGATTTTGGAAGTCTAATAAGAAAAAAGATTCTGGGTAGATCCGATTAATTGTGAGAGAGATGAAAAGTGAGAGTTTAGTGTTCTATTTCCTACATTGCTTGAAAATGAAGAACGATTTTCTATTTACTTCCGGATGTCATTAAGTCGTTTTAATGAATTGCATGATTATATAAAAAAGGAAATAGAGAAACAAGACACCAACTGGATATATCTACAAAAGAAAGATTGAGAATCTTTTTCTATTTCCAAGGCTATTTCAAGCCATGCTGCATTTTTTAAAATTATTTTTATAGTTTGCTTTACTAAAAACATAGTATAATAAACGCTTTTTCCTTACTAAATCAATTAATTTTTCTATGAAAACCACCTTGCGAACGAGGCGTCCCACGAGTTGTTTGTATTTCTGACAATAGAACGCAAGAACGCGAGCGTTCACACTGACCGGCGCGGTCTGACTGCCGCTCTGTCTGCGCGATTAGAGATCTATTAATTACAAAGAACGCGGAACTCGGAACGCTTGAACGCTTTCTGTCTTCGCAAGCCCTAAACATCAGCTTTTCCCCAGGAGCTGTTGCTAGCGACGAGATGTGTTCGTGCGAGATCAAGTCCTCGGTGATAAGGACTCCGACCAGCCGAAATGAACGGGTCTTTGGGAGAACTCGGCCATCCATCAAAACCGCATGAGCGGTAGGAATGGATGGTACACCAGAGGAGATCGTTGATATGTAAAAGGAACAGTGCCGGAGCCAAGACCGATCCCTGGGGAGCACCTGCGTTGACGTTGTGGGATGAAGGGGAGAACCCGTGAATTATGACAGATATCTTGTGGGAGAGAAAGTCAGCCACCAATCTGCAAAGCTTCTCTGGGAGGCCATAGAATGGAAGTTTGCATAAAGGAGCAGCATGTCTCAGCTGATCGAACGCTTTTGTAATATCATGTAATAACATACTCTTATGACCCGAGTCTATGTACTTATGTTCCAACATTGAAATAATCTAATAAGGAAGAACTGTTTTCTGCTTAATTCTAGTCTTGCGGGAATTTTGTGACGCCCCTTTATATATTGAGTTATTCAGTAGACCAGATATGCTTGTTTGCTTTCTGTTGCATGACTTCAATGCAAGACCTATACCGGACAGGTGGTTGTTAACAAGCATGAAGTGGTGCCATGTACGGCTGGTTATGGCCACGGAGACGGAAAGCAAGCACATCCGGTTCAGCCTATAAGCTCATACCTGTTAATATAGGAGGGTTAATCTTTACTCAACCCCGCGATTTTCTTTAGAGTTCGACCAAAATATCTACCAATAAATAATCAAGCACCCCAAAAATAGATTGGATTGTTTCTACCATAATCAATGTTCATATATAAAACATACGTGTTTTCCTTGTTCCTCTTTTTTCTCCAGAAAATACGATATTCGCGCGAGTGATTTATTAAATTTAGAATCATTTTTCTTTCTGGTATGGGACTGAAATGGAGTTTTGTACATTTTTCATACTGTCATGTATTTCCTCGTGTTAGCCTGATTTGCGGTTGTGTTGTGATTAAAACATAATGGTTTATCAGAGGATTAGGCACTTGTATTGCTTCAGATCACCTGGTGATATATAGAATTTCACATTAGAATCCGGTATAATCAGATGACGGACTGTGCGTCGGACCCTGGAATTCAAGGGGTAATGCGGTTGACAAACTTTATGTTCCAAAAATCGTGAAGCTCCAGCACACAGCACCCCTTTTCAACTAACACCAGCAGGGACCCCGTTAGAACTTTGTGCTTCAGGCCCCAGAGATTTGCCATTGGGTATACTGATTACGTTTCATAGGTATATTTATTGAAGCACTTATTTTAAAAATGGTGTTCACTCGAAGCTGATATACGATAAAATGGGAGGTAACTATTCGCTATTTGTTTGTCTGGGCGGTCCGATGGACCTTTCCCATTAGTCACTGTCATGTTAGTCCAATCTGTCAGTCATAGTTGCCCAGAAATCAGGCAATATCATGCACAATGAGAAACTGAACGGGAAGGTAAAAGAAGAGCAAAGCAAAACAGAAGTGTAACTGTTTAAGAGAAAACACCTGGGCTTTTTGACTTGACACACGGATTAATTTTGAGGTGAACTAAAAACAAATTCTGATTCAGGTTGTGCTAGAGTATAATTTTGGGTTTACTAAAAGCGCGCTATCTTTTTATCACAGTAAGAGCCATGACCTTGAAAGTTTGCTTACTTGTTGCTCCACTATGTAGTCCACTGAGTCACGTAAGACCCGGTTGCTGGGCGATTCCGCCTGAAGTTTGACATAATCCTTCAAGTAGTAGTAGTAGTAGTAAGACATTTATTTACTTCATTATATAAGAACAATAACAACATAGAATGGGTAAATAAATGTTTCAATTCTTAGAAGGACAATGCCTGTACTTGGATCAGTCGTAGGAAATGTCACGGTCTCTAAAGTGGGAGGTATTTTTGACAAAAAAATGCGATTTTGAAAAAGCAGATACACAAAAAATGTTTGATGACGCCGGAGACATGCAACGAAAACAGTGTGAATTAGACTCAATGTCAAGGTCTCTGAAGTGGGAGGTATTTTTTGCAAATCTAGGTCCATTATTGTTTTTAATATTTATTAATGACTAGTCTTTTGAACTGAAGTGTTTCCATTTGTTTTTCGCTGATGACCTTAAAATCTGCACGTCAGTCAAGACAGTCGAGGATTGCGTCATGTTGCAAGATATCTTAGCTCTAATTACGTCATGGTGTTCACCAAACTGTCTCAGTCTGAATGTTTCGAAATGTAAAGTTATAACTTATACAAGAAAAGTTAACTATTTAATTTATGATAATTATAACATCAATCGTCAGGTTATAGACAGATGCACCTCTTATGGAGACCTTGGAGTCATTTTTGATATCAAGCTAACGTTTACTGAGCATATACTCAATATCTCGTCGGCTGCCACTCGATTACTTGGTTTCTGTATCAGAAACTGGAAGGGTTTCTTCAATGTTGATACATTAATGACTTTATTTTTTACTTTTGTCAGGAGCAAGTTGGAGTATGCGACTCTGATCTGGTCTCCTATATACCAAAATTCTGTCGTGATCCTTGAGGCCATTCAACGTAAAGCTTTAAAGTATTTTCACCTTAAATGCACAGGTTCTTATCCAGAAAGAGGTTGTGACCATAGTGCCCTATTAGAGTTTTTCAATTTGGATTCACTGTCAACAAGACGAAACATATTTGCTTTGTCGTTTTTGTATGGCCTCATTCACAATAAAATTGACTGTCAAAATTTACTTGAAAAAATATGTTTCCGCGTTCCAAGGCTAGGGAGTCGACAACAAACGGCATTCTATTGTCAAGCTGGCCGTACAAATGTTATGACAAAATCGCCAATTAATCTCATGTGCTGCATCATGAACAGTGTTACTGAATCGTGTGATATTTACAGTGACAGTTGTGCATCGATTATTAACTGCTATAGATCATCCAATCTTATTTAGAATGTGTGATACTATAGATTTAAGTCCAAGAACCATGTCTCTTTAATTCTTATTTTTTTCAGCGTTTTCTGTAATTGGGTTTCACCTGTTGGAAATAAATAAATAAAATAATTAAATAAAATTAAAAATATAAAATAAAACAGAAATCCGAATTTTGAAAAAGAAACAGATACACAAAAAACTGTTTGATGACGCCGGAGACATGCAAAGAAAACATTAAGTGTGAATCAGACTCTTTAAAAGATTCTTTTTTTTTGTTATACTGTGCAATATTTGGATGTGGATCGCAACAAAACTTGCAAATATCTATACATTGTTAGGTTATTCAACGTTTCTCAACCTCTTGATAACTAAAAGCCTTTTTCAAACAGATGGCTTTCATAGCTTCTTTACGCAGCAAAGCTTCATAGTATCGGACTAACGGGCTTTCCTCTTGGAACGAGTGCCAGAAACGTGCGATTCTTCAGATATACGGCATACCCATTAAAACCTCGCATCAGGGTAGTGCTTGCTGTGTTTCATCCCGTGTTAGCGCTATGCCATCTGCACACCAAAAATATTATTCATTCCAGCTCAGCGGTGCGGCGCTTTTATGCTAAATAATAGTAGCCATGGAATAGCATTGATAGTTCGCAATATTAATCAACATACTATCAAATATGACAGCCAAGCGGAAACTGCTGGTAGGCTGACAAAGTTATCGGCATGGGTATCATGTAAAAAACCTTTAAAACGTCAAAAAAACCTATAAGAAGTCATCTTGCAAACTAGGTAGTTTAGGACGCGAACAGCCATCCAACGTTTGGTCATTAGGATCGTTGTGAACGTCCATCTAAGGAGGAATCACTCAACTAATCTACACGCATTATTGGTTGCATATGTTTTGTGAGGCCTAATGGTCCTTGTCTGTAGTTTTTATCTCTGAGAAGACAGTTGGTTGAATAGCAAGATCGCATCTGGATGATTTATGTGTATTGGTCTGAATTTGTATAAAATAAGTGATATTTGCTGTGGGATACTGAATATGCTGTCAATGAAGTATATCTGTTGGCTGTGCCCGGCGGGTTATTTTTATGTTGTGCTTTCTGAAGAAGGTTATGTTCAAAATTATAAATTACGAAACACTGAGGAGAATTACGGGAAATCATCACTGCGCCCGCGTTGTGTGTAATTACTGTTAACATGTATATGACTTGTAATTCGACAGTGACAGTAAATATAATTATTTCTTAACTCTCTCGTTTTTGAAATTCAGCAAATTTGTATATGTAATTTCCAGAATGGATAAGAAAAAGTGAATGCGCAACTAATTCCTAGTTTTGAATCTCAATTAAGTGTATTTGAGACAAGAACCCAATGTAATTACCATCAACACATACAACTTACAGCTTAGACGCCCCAGTGATGCCATCTCAGAAGCAGATTTTACATCACATCAGAGCCAAAGATTGATAACAAGCCTCATGACGTTTAGGCAACACGTACAACTGAGTGCTGAGATAACTCTTGTAGAAAAATCTACATAATGTCAAAAAACCAGCATAATGTCAAAAAAAATCGGCATAATGTCACTGTTCAAGATACGTGATACCCGTGCCGATTGCTACTGCTAGACCGCTTCACGCCGTCTGTTTAAAATTCGACTCTCACCTTTTCTCGAAAAGGGTAAAAGATACGTTGCCGCTTAGAAAGTTTCGAAATCCAAAGTACTTCAGAAGAGAGACGAAAAAACCGAAATTTCCCAAAAACGATTCAATTTTTTCCCGTTTTTATTTTTAGTGAGATTTAAAAATAAAGTTTCATTGTTGCTATTGACACTTTTTCTCCTCTACTAGATGGCTTCGTTAAATTTTCAACTCGAGGCTTCTTTCGATTTCCTTCACCCACTTTGTTTTTTCATATGGAACAAGCAATCTAGTAGAGGATAAGAAGTGGCAATGTTAATGTGCAATTTATTTTAAAATCCTACTACAAATAAACTCATGAAAAAATTAAAACGAACGATTTCGGGAAAATTCGGTCTTTGCTAAACTTTATAAGTGGAATTTTGCTAGCTACCTAAATACGTAACTTTGCCCCTATTTATTAGTATCCCTTACCGTTTCCGAGATCCCAATTGTCACTGTCGAATTTGACACACCCGGTATACCTGGAGAAACTTGGGCTATTATGTAAAAGCGACCGCGTAAAGGTGCATTTAAATTAGTGCGAACACGAGCGAACGAACGAATTCGTTCGCTTACGCTCGCCCAATTTAAATGGCGAACCGAAGAAGACCGAACGATTTCGTTCGTGTTCGGACATGTTCCAGCGCGTGTCGGTAAACTAGCGAATCATCAAAGGATGTTCGCGCTCAATGTAAACGACGTTTCTTGTACTTGCGAACACACGCGAATAAATTCGGCCTACTAAACGTGTACTGTTTAACTACTTTGTGTGTGGTTACGTCTTGCAAAACATGGAATGGACAAATGATAAAACTTTACAACTCATTGAGTTATATAGAACCAAAGAATGTTTGTGGAATCCAAAATCATCATTTTACAAACTTCTAAATAAGAAAAATGATGCATGGCAAGGAATAGCAACAGAAATGAATTGCAACACCATAGAAGTGAAAAAGAAAATAAACTCTCTGCTTGCCTCATTTCGAAGAGAGAGACAAAAGGAAAGTACAACCAAAACATCAGGAAGTGGAGCTGGAGAACAGTACTACTCAACATGGTTTGCATTTAAGTCTCTGGATTTTTCGAGAGACAAATTTACACCAAAATCTACATTAAATACCGAGGAGGTGAGTGAAATAATACGCATATTCAGATTTTAGTAACGTTTTTATGCTTAAATACATATTTATGAGTAATTTGTTTGCCATGAAGATTGTCCGGATGTTACAAAATACTCCATAAACTCATGCCTAACTTTTTCCGCATTTGCTGAAGATTTTCGAGGTATATTTTTTAATGGAATTAATGATGTTGCTTTTTCGTTTTCTCTGCAGTTGCCGTTATTTACCCGCGTATTAGGTTCGATATCAAAACTTCCTGGTGGAGCGTATATATTTCGCGATGTTTTGCTCCTTCTCAAAAAATTGTGTAGGTATACACAACTTAAAACCACCAATGCCGCGTTGTCTTCTTTCAAAAGTATCGGTTTTCTGAGAACTCTACTACTCTAGACAGAAGAGAGGATGCCAAATGCATTTTCCACAACTCTCCGTGCCCTTGATAGCCTATAATTAAAGGTTCGTTTAGGTGAGTTGTTTTCGTGTGTTCCACCATATGGTTTTAAAATGTGCTTATGTAGTGCAAATGCATCGTCTGCTACAAACACATAAGGCACGTTTTCTGTCCTTCCAGGTAAAATAGATTCTTCCGGTAATTTTAGAGTTCCTGCATACAATTTTTTACAAAAAGATGTATGAGGAAACACTCCTCCATCTGAGATGCGGCCTTGACAGCCTACATCAGCGAATAAAAAATTGTAATCATAATCCACAAGTGCAAGTAACACAATACTAAAAGTCGACTTATAATTGAAGTAGTCACTTCCACTGTTGGCTGGAGCTTGCAAAATACAGTGTTTTCCGTCAATAGATCCTAAGCAATGCGGAAAATTCCATCGCTTTTCAAAACCTTCAACAATTTGTAACCATTCCTCTTGATTCTTGGGCATCTAAAAAAAATATTCCACTTAGTAAAATTCACAAGCATTTATTCTATTTTTAGATTCAAGAATGAGATGTTACAGTGAATATCAACGCTGACAATGAAAATGTAGAGGAAGCTATTACAACCCATCAGGAACATAATGTAACATCTATGCCATCCACCAGTGGAGTAAAACAAAATAGAAAGAGAGTCAAAGATAGAAGAATTGACGAAGCCTATGACATAATGAAGCAAACGGTAGCCAAGAAAGCAAATAAAAATAAAAATTATATATTTGGCGAATATGTGGCGACAAAACTGGACACTTATTCAGATCGTTGCAGAAACATTGTTCAACATTTGATAAACAATATTCTGTTTGACGCGGATATGGGAAACTTCGATATAGCCGCCAGCGTATCATCTCAAACACTGAATTCGCAGTCACATTCATATTCTCATCAGTCATGCAATACCCAGTCACACCAGCCATTTATTCAAAATTATCTGTCGTCCGTTTCAACGCCACTAACAGGATCATCTGCATCTTTCACTACTACACCACTTGTTTCACCTACTTCAGATAACGTATCATATATATCATCAAATCATACATCACCGGTTCATTATTTTGATTCATGCTCTCAGCCAGCAACAGCAGAAACAGAAAAAGAGTAAACAGATGAGAGCGAACTTGCTACTTTTGTTTTAAATTTTAAACCCTAAGTAAAATGACAATAAAGAATCTTTTGACTAATTACCAGTGTTTTTTTACACATCAGGTTTTTAATTATTACCTGTACACAATCTTGTAAACAATCAATCATGGCTTTGCACACTTCTGGAACAATGTGACAAATTGATGATGTAGACATCTTGAACAAATACTTTAAACTCGAATAGCAATTGCCAAAAAACGGAGCGTAAGTAATAACGTCTCTTTTGGTAATATTGCCTTTTTGAATGTAGTGTCCGTTTTTGAAATGATTGGACTAATCAAATTTAGCAAATATTCCAAATCAGTTGAAGACATTCTGCAAAAGTTATTCAATTGTCCCAGATTATCGCTTGTAAGGTCTGTAAACATTGTTATTCCTCCTGCAGTGTCTCTTTTTTTCAGTAAATTTGAAGACCATTCCCTCTTTTTTCTTTTTTTCTTCGTCAAACCTGCCATAACAATAAAACTAGCACTAATAATTATATCGTCAACAGAGTCCGACATGGAGTTCAAAAACAGAACAACGGAACATCCGCGAATGCAAATATTCGTGCATATAAAAATGCCTCAAACAGGTAGCGAGCTAACGAACGAACGAACAAGACCAAATTCGTTCCTTCGTTCGTTCGCTCGTGTTCGCTCTAATTTAAATGCACCTTAACATGCCGCCTTGAGTACCAGTGGTGCCATGCAGGATTTTTCCCAAAATTTGGGGAATTTTTACATGGGGATTTTTTTATGTTTTGGGGGAAATCAGACGTTTCGCGGATAGAAACATCCCCCTGCTCGTTCATCTAAACCTACCCCTTTCCATTAATTAACTGTGATTTGTGAGATTTTTTTTGACAGATTTTTATGCTTGTTCTGGAGAAGTATGACCAATCTGGCAATGCTGTGCTTTGACATATCCGCCGTATGAGCACTTTTCTCATAGTCTAAGATTCTGCGGCTTGAATCTGCAAGTGTCCATTTTTTTTTAATAAAACTTGATCAATCAATCAATCAATTCTTTATTCATGTCACAATACATAAAATATGTTTACATACGTCAGTAGATCAAATGAGAATTGCATTAGAATTAAAACAAAGGGAGTGCTAATGATCATAAAAAATTACAAACAAGTACACCAGCACTCATAAAGATATAACGCTAACATAACATATTAAGATTTATAGTTAAAATTTATGTCTTAAAAACTCTTCAAACATCTAAAATGAGTTATTAATAAGAATTTTCTTGATTTGAACGTTAAAATCTTTAAACAGTAACGATTTTAAGCCGTCTGGAAGTACATTAAAAAATTTGACCGCCCAATAACCAGGTCCATCTTGACACCTTCTCAGTCGCCAATAAGGAGGTACTACATTATTCTTATGCCTAGTATTGTGCTCATGGACGTCCCCATGAGTTACATAGTTAGAGTTTCTTTTAACGAATAGTAGATTTTCAAAAATATATAAACAAGGCACAGTAAGGATTCCCAACTTGACAAAGGTATCTCTGCAATCGTCCCTGTAGCCCAGACGGCTCACAACCCTAACTGCTCTTCTTTGCAAGGCGAACAGTCTATGGACCCCTGAAGAATGCCCCCAAGCCAGAATGGCGTAGGATATATGTGAATGGCAAATGGCAAAGTGAGCCATTCTCGATATTTCTACAGAAACACAAGAAGACAAACTCCGTAGCACATATATACCTTTGGTGGCCTTTCCAGCAACACTACCAATGTGAAGGCCCCATTGCAATCTTGGATCCAAAGTAACCCCCAGAAACTTGGCTTCACCAACCAAATCACTGTCTCCAGGCAGGCTTCGCATGGAGAACACCATTCTCTTTGTCTTATCTTTATTTAGCAACAGCTTATTGGAGCAAAACCACAGCTCAGCTTCATCCTGCGCAGCCAGAGACTGTGCCATTGAGCGCTCAAAACTGTTAGCGGTGTGAGAGACGGTCGTATCATCCGCGAAGAGAGTAAAGTTTGCCATATTGTTATTGAGAGGTAAATTTATGTAAATGAAAAAAAGAATTGGGCCCAAGATGGAGCCCTGTGGGACGCCAATATTAACACTTCGCTCCGCTGATGTCGTCACTACATCACATCTCACCACCTGAGTTCTATTACTAAGGTAAGACTCAATTAGTTCAACGGAATCATAACTAAAGTTGTAAGCAAGGAGCTTTTTTAAAAGGATGTCATGGCTCACACAATCAAATGCCTTACTAAGATCGCAGAAAAGAACCGTGTTATACACTCCTCCATGGAAAGCATCAATTATAGAAGAAATCAGGTTAAGTACACCCATAACAGTGCTCTTACCCTGGCGAAAACCAAACTGATATTGTGAAAACAATTCATTTGCCTCAAAAAAGGTTACCAGTCTCAAAGCCATACATTTTTCAAAGATCTTAGAAATAACTATAACACTGTCATGAACTCATCTGTGCTTCAAGAAGACCTCAAGCTGATCAGAAAGTGGTCTGAACTTTGGCTCCTGCCTTTAAATCTATCGAAATGCTACGTTCTCCACCTGGGAAAGAATAATCCTAACTTAACATATAAGATTGGCAAACATACCTTAGAGACTGTTCTTCATCACACAGATCTTGGTCTGACAGTTAATGGCCGGCTCACCTGGTCGGAGTACATTCATAACATAACCTCTAAGGCAAAGCGGTTGCTATATATGATGGAAAGATCATTTAGCGGTTGCACCGTTAGTACCTCCTCCTTTTTGTACACAACTTTCGTACGACCCCTACTGGAGTTTGCTGGTCCGGTATGGGATTCAAACCTTGTTCGCGATAGCAGCTTATTAGAGGCCGTGCTACACGTATGCCATATGGCACACGTAGGCCAAGTTATGAAGACCGCCTCGAGCTATATAACCTGCCTGCCTTTGCTGATAGAAGAGTACGAGGAGATCTCATCATCACTGCATAATTTGTTTGGTGTGGACATGTCGCATCTGTTTCGTCTGGCAACGAACAGTCTCAGAGGCCATAACTTCAAATTGCAGAAGGAAGCTTTTAGAACCTCCACTCGTCAGCGCTTCATCTCAAACCGTGTCTTCGATGCATGGAACAGTCTTCCATCTTTTGTAGTGAACTCGGAATCCGTCAACAGTTTCAAAAACAATTACGATAGACACCGCAGTGCTTAACATATTGTTCCCATTCTGTATATGTCTACTTCAGAAGTGCTAAGATTGTCAAATTGTTATATTTCTTTTGTCGGTACACTATTATCTATTTTTGTGTTTGAGTTTATAGTACTTGTACTCAACTCAAATTTGTTGTTTAATAATAATAATAATAATAATAACTGGAAGAAGGGATATAGGTCTGTAGTTCTCTGGTGAATCAACATTGCCGTTCTTAAAAATAGGTGTGACACTAGCTCTCTTTAGAACAGTTGGAAAAATATTTTCTCTAAGACAAATATTAATCAGTCGTGTTAGAGGGATCAAAATTATGTTCTTTATACCAGAATCGACCATTGCGAGCTGTGATACAGTTCCAACAGACAGCTTACTGTTTTCACTCTCGCAGTGGTTGATTCTGGTAAAAGTTAGCATCTTACTTCGTCAAACCTCTTAAACTGCGCGATCGCTGCCCACTGACTCGCTTCCGCCGTCTCGTCGGGTATTTATTCCCCTATTTACGAGTCGAGAACCGTTCCAGCGTTTTCCGGGCCGCGTGAACTTCCTTAGAACTAGTCTAGATGGCAGTAGATACATCTCGAATCTCAGCCGAAGCTTCTAGATGGGTGCAACTGCTCACGCTCGCTCGCGTAACTGGTTGCTTAAGCGGATACTTCGCAAGTGTATTCATATTTTATGTTTCTAACTATCATTAACTCAAAAAGTCTTTCCAATGAGATCGAAAGAAGGTGAAATATTGCCTATTCATAAAGGAGGCGATAGACATCTTGTGGAAAATTATCGACGTATCACTAAACTTAGTTTTTTCTCAAATATTTTTGAAAAGCTGATTTATGATGCTATCTCAAACATTACAAAAAATATCATTACGGAACACCAGCATGGATTTTTCCCTAAATGATCTGTAGAGACGAGTTTGATGAGTTTTATAGAATATGCCTCTCACGCAATAGAAGAGAAACTGCAGGTGGATGTTATTTATACCGACATCAGTAAGGCTTTCGACAAGATTGATCATTCTATCTTGATGGAGAGACTTGCTGAGGTGGGTGTAGATGGTCCATTATGGCAGTGGCTAGCATCGTATATAAGTAATCGTAAACAAGTGGTGACTTTCAATGGGTATCGTTCGGAGACATTCTTAGTAACTTCAGGTGTACCACAAGGTAGTCACTTAGGACCATTGTTATTTAACATATACATGAACAACCTTACTTCTGTTTTTCATTTCTACTACTATTGTTAGAAATGTAAAACTTCAAAGCGATTTGGAATCTCTGCAAACAGTATCTTCCTGAATTTAACAAAATGTCATTACATGAGGCTTACTAGAAACATAGCGAACACTATAGATTTCAGATATAAGATAGGGACGGCAGAACTGGAAAAGCTTCATGTAGTAAAAGACCTAGAGGTATACATTGATGAGAAACTCTCATTCATCACTCACGTAGAGCACATCGTAAATGATGCAAATAGAACATTAGGGTTCATAAACAGGACATGCAGAAAATTTACGAACCCAAAAACGCTACTTTCATTGTACTACGCTTATATACACAACAAATTGAGGTTTGTATCAGTAATATGGAATCCGTCTTACAATGCACATATAGCCAGGGTAGAAAGAATTCAACACAAATTTTTGAAGATGTTAGCACATAAAACTCACCAACCTGTTACAGATCATCATTATACGCAAATTATGAATCAGTTCAATATGATTTCCTTAAAAGACAGAAGAACGATTTCTGACATTTACTGCGTTCATAAATTGTTGAATGGCCTCACTGACTGTCCGGATCTTTTGGCAAACTTGAACTTTAACACTCCTGATAGAACATTTAGAACCTATCATCTGTTTAGAATACCGTTCCGTAGAAATAATCTTGGGCTTAATTCCCCTTTGGTCAGGGCTCAAAAAAATCATAATAATTTCTGTAATATAGACTTATTTAACATTAGCTTGACCTTCCTGAAAAAGGCTTTAAAGTATGAGTATTACAGCTCTATAGCAGACTAAAATAGAAATGTTCTATTTTGTTTACATAACTCAAGTTATCACCTCCAATGTCATTTCTGGTATAATTTCAATTTAATTTTGGTTTCAGTTTTAATTAAACGTAAGTAAATGTTAAATTATGTATACTCCTTTTATTAAAAAGGTTAAATTAATAGTTTATTGCTTATAATTAGAACTACTCACTCAGTTTATGTTGTTACAACAATATCGGAAGATAAAAAAAATATTAATATTGAAGTATTCAATAATGTAATATATGTATTC